ATGCGAATCCCAGGGCTCGATCCCTAGACTTAGCCTTACCTGTGTACATTACCTGTGTCGAACCTGAGAGTTGAACCCGTGACCTGTGTATTTGTAACAGTTGGTAGGTCGTCGTAGGTCTGTAGGCTATAGGGGTTCGATCTGTAGACCTGTCGGATAGGAGTCTTAGCCGGGTGTAGAAGTCATAGCTGCTGCTCCTCCGAAAGGTCAAGGTCGTAGCGGCTACAGTCCGGAAGAGTCAAGGTCGTAACTGCTACAGTTTCGAAAGGCCAGGTCCACGGCCTTCCGGAAGGTCCTAGCAGTGGCCTTTCGAAGTTGCCCACATTTAGGCTGAGGCAAGTGGGCAAGTGGTGAAGTTTACCCGTGCTGAGTCAGCAGTCCCAGTCCCAGTCAGTCCTAGTCCAGTCAAGCAAGTACCATATGGGACTGTGTGCACTACGGGCATGGGAAAGGGCCAGACCACCGGGCTACAGAAGTATAAATCAAGAGGCAGCGCCAGCCATTCATTCATTCCTGCGTATGCCATGCGGAAGCGCTGCTACAGCGACTTGTGCGAGGTGGTCTGCAGTGAGCCCAGAGACGAAGTGGGCGAGAAGGAGCTTAGCCATAGCGATAGGTTAGCAGCGGCCATAGCCGCCATAGCTGTAGGTAGAGTGTAGCGTGTGTGTGTATGTGTGTACAGTGTATGCGTGTGGGATATCCAGGGTGATCCTGTGTGTGTGAACAGAGAGTTGAGTGGGCGCTGTGTCGCCATAGCCATTGAAGTGAACTTGTATTTGAACTGTGTTCTCGGCTACCATATCTTTGAGTTTGAGTGGCCGCCTGTCGCCAGTTTGCTGCGCACCTGTTTGCATACATGTGAAGTAAAGATAACGAGTCTGATTGCAATTGGTATCAGAGCTGGTACCCGCTATTCCACGCGCAATCGTTGTGTGCCGCAGGGAGAGCTACGCGCCACAGCCGAAGTTGCCATCGGAGAGGAAGTCCGCCATAGCGGATCCGGAGGTTGAAGAAGCCGCCGCGCGCACCTGCAAAGAAGACCACGACGAAGAAGAAGAAGAAGAGAGAGAGAGAGAGAGAGAGAGAGAGAGAGAGAGAGA